AAAGGCTCTTGGGAGCTCTGATGCTGTCCCATGTTTCCATCCATTAGTCCTAGTTTTTCCTCTAAAGACACATAGATAGAATATCTGATCTTTATTATTCACATCAGCCTTTTATTTTAATATATTTGATATATTTTAATATATTTGTCTTTTCCTGGTCAAGAATGTCTCAGTTCTCTGTTCTTTTTATGGGACAATAAAACTTACATTTGTAGACTACAATCTGCTCTTTGTAGTGCAGTTTACATACACTACGTGGAGTTTACCTCATTTGATGCCCCTGCACCTGTGAGAGCTAGTGGAGTCATTGTCCTTGCTTTACTGACCAGGAAACTAAGGCTGCTGATAGTGAAGTAGCTACCCAGTCACTCAGCTAGGGAAGCCAGAATGCAAACCTGCTTTCCTGGCAACTAGTTCTCTCTACTAGAACATCCTTCTGTGCCTGATTTCAAGACCTGTTTATCCTCACCTGCGCATGTTTTACTTTGTTACGCCTCTTTCACTCTACCGTGGAATACTATCCTTATGACTAGATGTAATTTATGGTCCTGGGTTGTCTGTGCATAGCTCACACAGACTTCGTCATATTCAGGATGCTCACTCTAGTTCTGGTAGAACTCATTTCTGAGTCCGGAATGCCCTTGTTTTCTTCAGTGGCCAGTCACTGCTGGCACATACCAAACTTAACAGCTTACTATTTCATAAGGTAGTTGCAAAGATTAAAATTCAGATAATGCTTGCAAAGCATTTAGCCCACGGCACCAATATTGGCTCTTATTTTTATTATAAGCATCACTTATGAACTACTGTCAAGCCAGGTTACAGTGTATAATAGGGGCAGAACAGAAAATAACTTCTGAAATTCTTTCTTTCTTGCATCACTGAATGTTAGTCTTGGAAAAGAAAATTTAGAGGTCATTTCTTCTAACTTGCTCGTTTTTCAGATGAGGAGACTGAGAGACCTAGGGGTTTTAAGCAGCTTCTGGAAGACACATAGCAAGTTAGTAATATTCATATACTTATTAGTAATTAAGTTGTGAAACTGGCAAATACGGTTGAATTCCTATTAGTGAATGGGAGTGAAAGAGAGAACAAAGATGGCCTTTAATTTTTTGTTTGTTTATTTTGTAACAAAGATGCCCATTAATTTATTGTTTTTGCCTGTTTGTTTTGTAAATTAGGAGAGAAAGATCTGAGATTCGAAACATGTCAATACCAACCTTAGATGAGTTCAACATGTGACCTCACATGGTTTTTAAAGACTGTGTTCAGGATCCCACATTGCTGAAATACAAACCTTGCTCTTAATGCAGTTTTGGAAAATTTTCAGCCTAGGATTGCTGCCTGGGAAACAATGTCCACACAAGGTGCTTAAAAGCAGGGGCCCCTTCTTGGCTGCATTTGTGCCCCCAGCACCTAGCACAGCTGTGGCAAAGAATTCCCATTCTTTGGTCTCCATTTCTGAGTGAGCAGATAGATGCCCAGTGGATGCTGAGTCAGTTGATTTCTCACTCTCTCCTGCCCATCTCCCTCTGTCTTCCCTTTGGCTTGGCCATAGGGAGGGCTAAGCATTTTGGCTTTTTTGAAATGAGACTAGCACCTCAGAATCCCCTCGAAGCCCCTGGGTGTCAAGATTGTTCCCCAAAATCCCACTCGCACCCTGGGTTCTTTGTTGTGGAGACATATCTTAGCCCCATGCCAGCCTGTCCTCTCCAACCTTTTATAATCAACTGGCTTTTGTATTTGTGCAGGAGTGTCCCTGGGCATGTGTGCAACTGGATCCGATGAGCCTGGCCCAGAGGGCCTCACCTCCACCTCTTTGCTGGACCTTCTGCTGCCCACTGGCCTGGAGCCACTGGACTCAGAGGACCCCAGTGAGGCCATGGGACTGGGAGCCCCTGGCTCAGGCTTCCCCAGTGAAGAGAGTGAAGAGTCCCGCATTCTGCAGCCACCACAGTACTTCTGGGAAGAGGAGGAGGAGCTGAATGATTCTAGTCTGGACTTGGGACCCACTGCAGGTAGCTCTTCCTACCTAAGAGTATGTGCTTATTGCAGCTGGGTGTGAGGCAGTCTTGGCAAAATGCCACATGACCATTTTATTGCTCAAATCACATGTTTTCTCTCTCCATACCAGTTTTTCCTGTGCATCAAAGCCAAGTCTCTGGGATTCTGAGTGACTTATTGGCTCAGAAGGCCCCTTTCTCTTTAATATTGACTGCTGTTCAGTGAGCCTATATTCTCTGCTCATAATATTATCTCCATTTTACACATGAGAAAACTGAGCCTTAGAAAGGTTAAAAGCATCCTTAAGATCCTAAAACTATGCAGATGTTCAGTCATGATTCAGACCAAAGTATATTCAAGGTCTGGGGTTTTGTTCATTTGTTTGTTTTCTCCTAATGTACTATATTGTCTCTGTTGAAGGTTCCCAGAGGTCAGCACATCTCTTGCTCCCGCTTAGGTCTCTCTAGCCCCATCAAGGCATTCTAACTGCTCTGCCTTCAGTCATGCACCAGAGCTGGTTTCTGGGTTTATAGAGTATGGCTGATGGACATGTGGGGCCTGAGCTCAGCAGGCATGTATGTACCATGGCTGATTATAGATATGGCAGAGCTCGTCGGTCATGCTTCCAGCTATAGCAGCTGTGCACATGTCCTTGGCCAGCAGGAACCCATTTTTAAATGTCAGACTGTCAAATTGTAAGTATATGCACACATGCACATGGGAGCAGGGTGTTACAGGATTTAGCCCTAATTTTTCTTTTTAAAATATATAATGTTTTGGATTTATGTTCTCTAATTACAAAAACAATATATAAAAATTGTATAAAATATGAAAAATACAAAAACAGTACAAATAAGAAAATAAAATCCTCCCATAATTTCACAACTAAAAGATAATTACTATGAATAGTTTGGATACATCTTTCTAGTCATTTTTATATGCAAAATTGGAATCAGGGGACATAATGTCTTCACTTAAAATATTTCATAAACATATTTCCACATGATTATTCTTTTATAACCTAACTTTTAATGAGTACATAGTATTTCATCATATGGATAATCATATGTATGAAACCAGTTCTCTATTGTTGAATATTTAGGTTGTTTTCAGTTTTAATGCTGCTATAAATATCTTTATATGTTTTTGTACTTTTCTGATTGTTTCCTTAGATAAATTTCTAAAGTAAAATTGCTGGGTATAAAGGCGTGTTAGTCAGCATGCCACCCAGAAACAGAAGACACAATCAAACCAAGATAATCTAAGGAGGGTTTATTTATAGAGCAGTGAATTTACAAAGGTATGGGCAGGGGCCAGTGGCAGCAGAGCAATCAAGGGCCTATACCCAAGGAGACAAAAGAAGAGAAGGATAAAAGGAATCTGCAAGGACAGAGAGTGGTGGGGAGCAGGTGGCCCAACAGGGAAGGAACCAAGAGAATAAATACCCAACCTCCCTCTCTTCCCATCTTCTGTCAGGGTCCCTGTCATTCTTCCTTCCTTCCTCGCCTCTGCCCAGGAGTCAGGTCAGGAGGCAAGGCATAGCCTGTTGATGTAATCCACTGGGTCAGTCTTCCAGGGCCAGGGCAGGGTAGAAAAGGGTGAAGAGTGGATCTTCCAGAGGCAGAGCATGTCTGACACAAAAGATGTGAATCTTTCCCCAGGCTTTTGTTAAATATTTCCAATCATCCTCCAGAAAGGTGCTTTCAGTTTGCATACCCATCAGAGATGGAATGAATACCAGTGTTTTGAACCCTTCCCACCACTGAATTTTGTCATTTAGAAATCTTTGTCAATTTGATAGGCAAAATTATAATGGACTTTAATTACTAGTAAATTTTAACTTATATTTGTATATATATAGTCACATACATATGTTATATACATATTCTATTTATTCTCTATACATAATATATACATATTCTGTCCATTTATAGTTCAATGGTTTGATTCGAAGCATAATTAAGAAAACAGGCTTCAGAGTTAGTTAGGCAGATTTCACAGTTCTAGCACTGAGTGAACACCTATGTGATTCTTTGGTAAGTGACAACCTGAGCCTCAGGTTTCTCATCTAGGATATGGGGATAGTAGTAGTGTCATAGGGTTTTGAGAGTTAAATCCAATAATACATTTAAAGTGCTTAGCAAAGCACTTGGCACACTGTAAGTCCTCCATAAATATTAGCTGTTATTATAACTTTTTCATTTATTTCTACTGAGGTTTTAATGTTTTTTATCACTGTGCACATTTTCATATAAAGGGGATACTAACTTTTTATCTAACATAGATAGAAAACATTTTTCTGGCTCATCAATTATGTTTATTTTTATTATAGTAATATTTGATATACATACATTTAATTTTTATAAGCTTAAAACAATATTTCTTTTGAAATGTTTTTATTATTATTTTTTTTTTTGCTTTATGTTTAGAAAAGCCTTTCCCTCCCTGAGATATATGTACCTTTATTTCTTCTATTCTTTTGAGCTTAATTTTTATATTTTACTCTATTCTAGCTGTAATATATTTTGGTATGTGATGTAAGATAGGGATTTAATTCATTTCCCCCGTATATATAACCTATAGACACAGCAACATTCATTGATAAGTCTATCCTCTCATTATTGAAAATTATAATGGACTTTTACCTTGTCCCTGACAATTATATGTACCTACCTAGTTACCTTGTCCCTGACAATTATACGTACCTACCTAGTCTTTCTCTGGGCTTTTCCTCTTGTTCAGACTATTGAGATTTTAGTGTAAGACAGTCACTCAGAGAACCCGGTCAAGAAAACAATATTTGTGCACCTAGACCTTTCTCGGGTTCACAGTGGGAAATCCCTGGCTTTGATTAACTCAGATTTGCTGTGCACCCTCATGCCTCCTCTTCCCTCATTCATTGTCCTTTACTTGTCTCTCTTGCCTCATTCTCTAGGTCTCATTATAATAAAAATACCTGTCATTCAATGAACACAAGCCATGTAATGGGCACTTCGCATACATTCTTTCTCCTGCTCACACCAGCTCCACAATCTGGATCTGTTTTCTTATCTCTGCTGTACATGCCTGAAGGGCTATGAGGTAGGGACACAAATGCCCTCCAAAGGGAATGGACAAGAGGTACAGAGTAGGTGGAGGAAGGAGAGCTTCCTTTTGTCCAGACTCCCTCATCACTCATCTTCTGATTGATCTGCTTGCCTACAGCAAGGTCACATGGCTTGTGCATGGCAGAGCTGAGTCTAAAATCAGTGTCTCCTGTGCAGTGGTGCATGTGGACCTGGGTTCTTGCCATGACAGCCCGTTAATGGTGTGTGTTAGAAAGGAAAGCAATTATTGTCAGTAGTATTGTTATACATCTCATTTCTAGTTTTCTGGGCCTAGAAGAATTAGAGCTGGTGCCTTCACTTCTGTAGCAGTGATCCTCAGGGTATCCAATGGCAAAAACAGCTGGTGGGCTTCTGCTTGACTGATGATGAGTGATGTGACCTTGAGTGGGTTCCTTTTCTAATCTTGGTTTCAGTCTCTTCATCTGTTAAGCGAGACCATGAGAATGATAGATGAAGTCTTTTACTGCTTTAAATATTATGATTCTCTGACATTTCAGGTGAAAAGAGTAGTCTAAACACTGCTGTTAAATAAAAATTTTCTGAAGATTTTACGCATCCATCTCAATGCTTTAAATATTATGATTCTGACATTTCAGGTGAAAAGAGTAGTCTAAACAAAGTAGGGAAAAATAAATGGAATGTAAATTTACCACTCCACCAGCTAGCATCAAGCCATCTTAAAGCCCGACCAATTAATTCATGCAGGATTGTTAATGGTTAAGAACATTTTCCCAGGTTACTTATTCATCTCACGACTGTCCCCACTGTCACCCACCACCCCTTTCATTTCCCAAGCTTCTTAATTAAGTTCTCTGCATGCAGTTTTAATTTTCCCAGTAAACAAGCTAATTGGTTTCCTACAAGAAAAGAGATTACTCTTCAGGGTCGGCAAGTTCTAGAAACCCAACTCAAACAGGCTCTCAGGTGTTTCCTGGCTCAGTAACTGCAGAGCACCAGGCAAGTGGGGTCCAGGGGTTGAACCAGCATCAGAGCCTGCATTGCTTCATCATGCTTTGCCTTCCCTCATTGGATTCATTCTTAGGCAAGCTGTTCCTGTGTGGTGGCTTTGAGAGCCCCCTGTGTCTGCAGTTTATCCCCCTTTTACATAGTAACCCTAGCAGCAGAGAACTCTGCCTCCCCATTACTTCTGAAAAGTCTCAGAGGGGAGGCTCATTAGTCTGATCTAGGTCATAAGCCCATCTCCGAACCAATCCTGAGGCCATGGGGACAGAGTTCTCTCACTGGCCCAGAGTGGATCCTAAGCCCCGCTGAAGCCAGGGGTAGGGCCTCACACTCCTGGACCAAAAAGAGGGAGGAGTGCCTCCAAAAGGAGAATTGAGGTGCCATTAATAGAAAGAGAGGAATGAAGCGATGGTTGGGCATAAACCACATTGCACTTGAGTAAGGAGCATTCATAAAGTACTTATATTTTATAAATCATTTCACATAATTGTTTTTTACCTCACAGCAACCTGATGAAATTTGTAAAAGCACACATGATTAATATTACTGTCTTATTGTTAAGGAAACTAGCTTAGAGAGGTTTAAAAGTGATACTAAATTACACAGGTACTAAGTGGCAGAGCTAAATCTCAAATATGAGATTTCTACTTCCAGATCTGCTGCTCCTTATCTATATGAAATCATTCACGAGACCACTTTAATTCCTATTGCATATAATAAATTTTATAGACAAAAGATCATCAAAGTAACTGTCTGCTGGGACCTGGACATTGTTTCTGTTCAGTAAATCATTGTTGAGATTGTATCTGTTATAGCATGATTTGATCTTCTGGGTCACTGCCCACACATCAGTCATATTTACTAAGAGGAGGACCAGTTGACAGAAGCACTTTCACCTAGATACATGTATACACACACATAACAAAACAACACAAAAAACCTGT